TATTGAATTAAATTGAATCAAAATTGAACTAAATAAATGGCAGTTTCGTGAGAATGACCCATTCAAGAAATAAAGAGAGAAAACATGTCAACAAGAAAAAAAGCATAAAAATATACCTTGACACAGAAAATCAGGATGACTCCAGATTCCCTCTGAATAGCACACTAACGTATCTCCTTTCCTAATATTATAAAATCCCTCAATGCACTTATAAGACACACTAGACCCAACTTTAGTGTCTCCTCTCCATATCATAACAGAGAGGGGGAGAGAGGGCGGTACTCCACAGTTCACCTCTGAGAAACAACAAAAACCTTGAAAATGTCTTCAGTTTACACATTACATACAAAGTCAGTTCATTTATTTAAAAAAAAGTTAACTTTGAGTTAAAAAAAAATGTAAACAAATACCTTCACACAACAGTGTTGGTTTTGTCCAGTAACCACTCTCAGCGCACACAGATATATTAAGTCCTTGTTTCAGATAGTAACCGTGTTTGCAGTGATATGTTACAGTGCTGTTAAATGTGACTCTGCCATTCCATATGTGTACAGTGAGGGGCAGTATAGGCGGCTCCCCACACACAATCTCTGTTGAGAAGAAAATGACATGTCAATGGTCATGACTGAATCAATGCAGTATAAAGAGGATTTACATTGCTTAGGGTGGAAGATTAAAAAATCAGAAGATGAGAAACCTCAAAAACATGAGGCAACCAGCTTCAGGACTTTTTAAAAATATACTCCAGGCATAGCAACATGTTTTTCCATTACCTTAATTTTACTGTTTGGACTCTCATTCTGACGGCACCCATTCACTGCTCAAGATCCATTTGTGATGTAATTCTAAATCACTACAAATCTGTTCCGATGAAGAAACAAACTCATCTATATCTTGGATGGCCTGACGGTGAGTACATTTCCAGCCAATTAAAATTTTTTGGTGAACTACTCCTTTAAAGGGTTAATTCACCCAAAAATGAGAATTAGGCTGTGTTTTACTCACCCCCGAGGCCCTCGAAGCATCCTAGGTGTATATGACTTTCTTCTTTCAGACGAATCCAGTCGGAGTTATTTTAAAAATTGTCCTGGCTATTCCAAGCTCTATCATTGCACTCAGCGGGTGTTGCAGTGCTTCAGTCCAAAAGCAGTTAAATAAAAAGCGCCCATCCATAAAAAAAGAGTGTCTCACATGGGTCTGGTGGGTGAACAAAGGCCTCCTGTAGCGAATCGATGCGTTTTTCTAAG